AGAGATGGGGTGTTTTCTAAGTGCCCCCTCCTCCCCCCTACCCGGCCTGCTGCCTCCTGGGAAACCCTCCCTCCTCCAAAGCCTTTAAAGGTCCCTTGGGGCTTTGGGGTGTTTCCCACTGCCGGGGATGGGCCTGGCGTGTGTGGAGGGGGGAACGGCAGAGGGACACCTGGCCCTCCTTTCCCTGGAGCTGTGGGGGCTCCATCTTCATCCCCTTCACACACACAGCTTGTCCCCTCTAGTGCTGGGCTGGCAGGGGGCTGCAAGTCGGGATTGAGGGGCACCAGCAGAGCTGCGGAGGGCAAAGCACGGGGCAGGGGTGTCCTTGTTCACCCCCCAGACCTGCAGGCTTCCCGCCATCAGGACCTGGGAGGAGAGAAGGAAGCCTGGAGCCCCAACCCTCCACCCAGGACCCCCCCCCCCATGGGGCTGGTTAGGGGAGCACAGGGCAGAGCCACCCCAGGGCCTCTCCTCGCAGCATCCCCCCCATTTCTGCTGCTGGGCAAGAGACAGGGAGAGAGGGGAGCAGAGAGGGGGACAGGCCAGGCCCTGCTGGCGGAAGGGAGGACCCCTTCTACCTGCCCACCGGGAGCAGGATAAAAGGGAGGGAAGGGGGGAGGCGAAGGAGAGAAAAGAAGAAAAGGAGGAAGGTGCAAGTGGAATTAGTGTCACAGCTGAAGTTACCTCCAGCAAACACACCTGCCCTGACGGCGAGGATGGGCACAGCTAATGGGGCATCACCAGTGCCCCAGTCCTATGGGCACAGGGGGGGGGGACAGCGGGGATGAGGGCGGAGAAGTGGATGGACTTAATAGGCAACATACCGATAGATGGATTGAGGGGATGAATAGAGATGGATGGATGGTAGGGGGTGGATGGGGATGGATGGATGGATAAAGGATGAATGCATGGACAGATGCAGGGGGTGGATGGGGATGGACGGATGGATGGGATGGAGGGGTGGATGTGGATGGATGGACAGATGGCGGGGTGGATGGGGATGGATGGGTGGAAGGGATAGATGGGGACAGATGGATGAACGGAGGGGTGGATGGGGTTGGACAGATGGATGGATGGATGGATGGATGGACGGCTGACAGGGGTGGATGGGAATGGATGGGTGGAGGGGATAAATGGGGACAGATGGGTGAACGGAGGGGTGGATGGGGATGGACAGATGGATGGATGGATGGATGGATGGACGGCTGACGGGTGGATGGGAATGGATGGGTGGAGGGGATAAATGGGGACAGATGGGTGAACGGAAGGGGTGGATGGGGATGGCTGGAGAGGGGTGTACGGGGATCACAAGGGTTCCCTGATGGCAGAGCTGAGCTGGGCTTACTCTAGGGGGGATTCTCCAGTGAAGCTGTGAGACCCTGCGGTTCCCTCAGGCTCTCCGGCCGCACAGGCTGCGCTGCCCACTGGGTACTGCCAGGTGGGGTGCTGTATACTGGGGCAGTGACGCTGGTGCCAAACTCCCCCAAGGGCTCCCTCTGTCCCAGTGCTGAGCACTCTGACCCCCAGCACAGAGCCGGGGGCTAAGCCCTCACCCCAGGAGCCCTCCTGAAAGTCAAACACCTGCTGGGTCTGTGTTAGGGTAGCACTAGGAGCCCAGCCATGGCCTACAACCCCGTTGTGCTAGGTGCTGTACAATATTTATTAGGTGTATTACGGTAGCACTAGGAGCCCAGCCATGGCCCATGACCCCACTGTACAGACACAGAACAGAGATGGTCCTTGCCACAAAGGGCTCCCAGGCCCAGGGTGGGATGGGCAAGGGGAGTCTGGCTCTCTCAGGGCAGTACTGAGCCCCCAGCCCTACAATGTTTATCTCCGCACCACACATATTTTCCCTCCCAACCCAGGGCACCAGTACTATCCCCATTGCACAGATGGGGAAACTGAGGCCCAGCAAGACAAAGGCCCAGATTAGATGCCTAAAGAGGCAGATAGGTGCCTAGTGGGCATTTCCAATGTGCCAAACTCTCATTGATTTCAGCAGGAATGAGGAAATCCTGCTAGGCTCCTCGCCCCACCGTTAGACCCCGAACACCTTTATATACCGGGGCCGAAATCACTGCTAAACGTGGGGCTTCCCTGGCTGAGTCACACAGGCCAGCTCCTCCAAAAGACACCTAACTCCCATGGGCTTCACTGATGGGAGCTGGGCACCTAAACCCCTTTGACAGTCGGGGCCCGAGTGACTTGGCCAGGGACACAGAGGTTAGAGCGAGGGTGAACCCAGGCTATCCAGGGCCACTGCACCATCCTTCCGGGCTGAGCCAGCCTGTACCCTGAGGACACGGACACCGCTCGGGCTGGTCCCAGTTTTGACCAGAGCTGGATTGGATCCCACTGGGTGCTGCTTTGGTTGGGAAATGGCCATGCCCCGCTGGGAGCTCGTTATGGCCCAGACGCCAATCAAACACTTGGGAGAAACCCCAAATCCGCTGGAAAGCCCCAGAGTCTAGAAAAAGAACTCAGGGTTTTGACTGAGGGGTTTCAACTAAGCCAAGCAACCCCCAAAGGCAGCTCTGGAGCTTGCAGCTGTGGGGTTGTTATTAATTGTCCATAATCACAATTAACAGCAATATAAGAGTGAAACAATCAGTCCTAATAATGGATAGCAGTGGCAATAATTGCTAATGAGGATGCCAATAATTATGATGTTAACAAATAATAATGATGCTAATAATTATGATGCTAAATACCAGTAACAATAAATATGCTAATAATGGTCATTATAATAAATTATAAGGATCCCAATAGTTAGGGTAAATAATAAAAATGCTAATAATTAGAATTGTAATAAAGAATAGTTATATTAAACAGAATAAAAAAGCAATAAAAAGCTGATCATTAGAATTATTATTAATAACAAGGATGCAATAATTATAGTTAGAATAATGATCCTGATTCTAATAACTAGCAGTATTATGAATAATCCTGACACAAAAATATAATGAATAATAAGGCTAATAATTATAATTATTATTATTAATAGGAATAATAGAGAATAATAATGCTGCCCATGTCTATAATTGATTCTAAAGAATAATAATTAATAATCATAAATAAAAGGTTCAAACAATAATAAATAAAGGGTGCAAATAATCATAAATAGAAAGAATTATGATAATGATGCTAATAATTATAATGACTAATGATGTCAGTCATTAGACTTTTATGAAAAAAGAAGGCTAGTAAATATAATGAACAATAAGGATTCTAATAATAAGGATGACAATCATTATAATTAGAAAGAATTATGATAATAAAGAGGCTAGTAATTAGAATGAAAGCATATAATAATGTTGCTTATCATTGAAATTGTAATGAACAATAATACATATGCTAATCCCTATAATGGCTAATTACAAGGATGGTAATAATTATAATTATGTCAAATAATAATGAGGATAGTAATAATTATAATGAACAATCAGAAGGGTCCTAATAATAATTAGTAATTAATTGAGGTTACAAATTATTAACAATCATGACAGTAATTACTAATACTGACAATAAATATCCATATCAATGGCAATGCCTTAACCCCTACTAACACCCCTAATTAATTATCACAATCCACAACAAGAACCAAGAATAACAATGATTAATAATAATTATAATTACTAGCACTGCTCATAAATATTCACACTCATTGCGATAATTACTAACTGTTCTAATTAATTATGAGCCATGACTGAGAATTGATGACAACGTTGGTTAAGAACAATAATTATTTATACTAATGCTAATTGATAAGATTAAGAGTAATTAATAAGCAATAGCATCAATAATTAGCACTAATTAATGCTATTATTAAGTCTGAAATTAAGCCCTGTTCTAGTGCTTTTCCCCCATAGATCTCAAAGCACTTTACACAGGAGGGCAAGAGTCATGAACCCCACTTTACAGATGAGGAAACAGAGGCACAGAGCGACCAAGGCCCCATAGTGCCTAGAAAACCACTGCAAGCCACAAAGCTGAGTTAGGTCCCCGTGCTCCCAATACACTGGCTGGGAGAGACGGCGCCTGAGAACAGGATCCACAAAAGACAGCACGCTAAGCGGGGAGCTGCCTTCACTAGCCAGCAGGGGGCACCCATGAGAGGGGGTGTCCCGGCCTAGTTTGATGCCGAAAGCCAAGCTGCAGCAATGGGCTGGTGATCTGAAGCTGGCGTTCGGGATGACCTGAGGGCTGGAGCTAGCGTTAGGCTGCCACCAGGGTTGAATGCAGGGCCAGGGTCAGACCTAATCGATCCCGGAATTTAGCGAACACTTTCTAACGAGCGTTGGAAAAGCCCAGTGTAGACGCGGCGCGCGGAACCCTTGGCCTGAGCTGGGCCAGCCCGGGTGACAGCAGGGAGGGCCCCAGGTCTGTGCCGGACGTGCCACGTGTCACGGAGTCCCTGGGCGATGCTGGAACTGCTCCCCATGAAGTCAGTCAGGACTCTGGGGTAGTCGCCTTTCTGTGAGCAGCCTGTCTTCAGGACACACAGCTCACCCGGCTTCCACCTTCCTGGGTCTGACCTCGGAGCATTCAGCATCCTCTGCCTCTCCGTGTGCTTCCCCCAGCGAGTCCGCTCAGGCGGGGCTCCTGGGGAAGCCAGAGGGTCCTGCACCCCAACTTCGCAGTCAGACGTGACTCTCAGCCAGCCAGTAAAACAGAAGGTTTATTAGACGACAGGAACATGGTCTAAAACAGAGCTTGCAGGTGCAGAGAACGGGACCCCTCAGCTGGGTCCATTCTGGGCGGCAGTGAGCCAGACAACCACGTCTGCACTTCACTCCATGTCCCAGCCAGCCCCAAACTGAAACTCCCCTCCAGCCCCTCCTCCTCTGGGCTTTGTTCCTTTCCCGGGCCAGGTGGTCACCTGATTCCTTTGTTCTCCAACCCTTCAGCTCTCACCTTGCAGGGGGGAAGGGCCCAGGCCATCAGTTGCCAGGAAACAGGGTGTTGGCCATTCTCTGTGTCCAGACTCCTGCACACACATGCCCTCTAGGGCTCTGCAATGATCATACACCCTTACCCCACCCCCTAGATACTTAAGAACTGCCTAGGGGAAACTGAGGCACCCCCACACTATTCAGAGGAAACATTAAGAATAGTCCCACTTCGTCACATCTCTCCCCCCTTCGAGATCGAACTGAGCGGGGTCACTTTAGCCGGTGACCTGGGGAAGTTCGAAGCCACCAACGTTCCCATGGATGCCCCAGCATCTCTCCCATTCCTTGGTAGGAGTTACACCAGGCCCTTCCATTTTCACACCCTCCCTTAGGTCAGGGGTGGTCGATAGCACTCGCAGGCCGCATGTGGGAAGGTTTATGCAGCCCATGCCCTTTGGCCACCCCAAGAATGTCTCCCCATTGACCATCACCTTCTGCTCCCACTGGAGGTCCGAGGGGCCTGGCCCCAGGAAACTCCACACAGACATATAGGTTGGGGTCAGGAGTGGGAGCCTGTCCACATCCCCAACCATCTGGCTGACGGAGTCTATGGCCTTGGGACCCAGCAAGGGAGCTAGACACCGGGGCTTTTCCGCAGGGTCCCCTTGGTTCAAATCGCCAGCCTGCTCAAAGGCAGTGAGGTGGGCATCCACACCCCCCCCTCCTTAACCAGGGGCAGCAATTTAGTCTCGAGGTTCCCTGCGGAACTGGCCCCCCGGGATCTATCCCCACTCACCCCGGGGAGGTCCCCTAGGCCTCTCCGCTCCCCCACCGCCAGTTCATGCTGCTGCTGCTTCTGCAGCTCTTTCTCGGGCTCTCGCTGTCCCCCACAGTCCTCTTGCTCTCTCAGACTCAGCTCCAATCCCGTCCGTCTCGATCCCCCGATGGGGAACCTGATCGTGAAGACCCTCGTCTGGTCGGGGACAGGAGTCTTGGCGATGCCTGGCTACCACTCCAGCTGCTCCCAGATCCTGCTATAGCCCCAGTTGGGGTCAGGAATCTGTTCCTTAGAGCGGTCATCCTCCTCCAGCTGCACGATTAACTCTGCTTTGGTGAACTTTCCAATGCTCAACCCTCTCTTTTTGCACAGGGTTACAATGTCCTTCTTAAGGAGACGGTGACAGGCCGTCACTCCGCTCCTCCCAAGTTGTTGTGGACTCACAGGCCCGTGTGTTCTCAGCTCCCCACGGTTTCCAGGGAGAACCCCTAGTGTGTCAGCCCTTCTCGAGGTCACCACCTCTTTGCCAGGGTCGAGCTGCAGACTCCTCCGCCCCTTGGACTGCTCGCTGCAATCCCCAGGGGAACCCTGTTACTGCACAGTCCTTCTCGCTGGTCACACACTTCCAGGGGTTAACCGCCCCCCGAAACCGCTCCTCTCTGAGCCTTCAGCAGGCCTGGTCCTCGGCAATCCCCCTTCGTGTTACTGCTCCCCAGTCACTTACTGCAGGAAGCACCATCCACGGGGTGCAGTACATCCCACCGCTGCCACCAGTTGTCACGGAGTCCCTGGGCGATGCTGGAACTGCTCCCCATGAAGTCAGTCAGGACTCTGGGGTAGTCGCCTTTCTGTGAGCAGCCTGTCTTCAGGACACACAGCTCACCCGGCTTCCACCTTCCTGGGTCTGACCTCGGAGCATTCAGCATCCTCTGCCTCTCCGTGTGCTTCCCCCAGCGAGTCCGCTCAGGCGGGGCTCCTGGGGAAGCCAGAGGGTCCTGCACCCCAACTTCGCAGTCAGACGTGACTCTCAGCCAGCCAGTAAAACAGAAGGTTTATTAGACGACAGGAACATGGTCTAAAACAGAGCTTGCAGGTGCAGAGAACGGGACCCCTCAGCTGGGTCCATTCTGGGCGGCAGTGAGCCAGACAACCACGTCTGCACTTCACTCCATGTCCCAGCCAGCCCCAAACTGAAACTCCCCTCCAGCCCCTCCTCCTCTGGGCTTTGTTCCTTTCCCGGGCCAGGTGGTCACCTGATTCCTTTGTTCTCCAACCCTTTAGCTCTCACCTTGCAGGGGGGAAGGGCCCAGGCCATCAGTTGCCAGGAAACAGGGTGTTGGCCATTCTCTGTGTCCAGACTCCTGCACACACATGCCCTCTAGGGCTCTGCAATGATCATACACCCTTACCCCACCCCCTAGATACTTAAGAACTGCCTAGGGGAAACTGAGGCACCCCCACACTGTTCAGAGGAAACATTAAGAATAGTCCCACTTCGTCACACCACGCGTGTCAGTTAATACGCGGTAACGTCGCACCTTCGGAGCCTCGGCTCGACGCCGTTTTAGGGCGAGGGGCCGGTGTTTGGTAACAGCCCAAACGCAGGAGACATTTTCTGCTGCCTTACATTTTCCCTGCGTGTGTGTGGTTGTGTGTTTCTGCGCGTTGTGTGGCTGTGGATGTGTGTGTTTGTGTGCATGGGTGATGCGTGCACACATGGGTCTGCATCGGTGCGTTTGTGTGTGTTGCGTGGCTCTCGGCTGTGTGCCCGTCAGCGTCGGTGCACAGTGTGTGTGTTTGTCTCCTGCTCTAAAAGATCCAGTGGGTTGGGGCGTGCAGGCATTAATAAAACATCCGCTCCCGGCCAGACGGAATTAAGCAAACAGCACCGGGCTGGGACGAGGCTGGCTCATGAATATCTCATTACAGCCTAGCCAGGGAAGGTAAAGGACAGTGCATTGTGGGAGGTCGATGGCGGGTTAAGCCGCTCACTCTGGAGCGAGCCTCATAAATAGGTCAATAGTGGAAGAGGGGTGGCTCTGGGGTGGTGGGGAGAATTCCTGCCTCTCCGTTATACCCGGCTTTGGCCTGGGCCTGACGTCTATCCCCTGCCCCTTGGCTCTGTGGCGCCACCCAGAGGCCAGTGTGGGGAGGGAGCCAGGGCAGCTCCTGGTTGCGCTGGGCAGGTGATGGCCTAGAGGGAGGAGGTAGCCAGGCAACCCGGGGGCTTGTTCTGTCCCGCTCCCTGTGGGATCCTGTCCATCAGCCACTGAGGACAGCCCAAGCCAGGGAGCGGGGTCCCCACGGGCAGGAATTGGTGTCAGTCAACTGCCTTCAGAGCTGATTTACATGGTGTGTTTGTACAGCGCTGGGTAACGGTGAGTATCATGTGGGGTAACTGGGGGGATTGGCTGAGTAACACTGAGCATTGTGTGGAGTAACAGCGAGTATCACGTGGACTAACTGGGAGTATTGGATTGAGTATCACCTGCAATAACTGGGGGAGGGGGGATTGGCAGAGTATTGCATCGAGTAACTGGGGGACTGGCAGAGTATCGCCTGGAGTAACTGGGGGGATGGTTGAGTATCACCTGGAATAACTGGGGGACTGGCTGAGTATCACTTGGAGTAATTGGGAGGATTGGCTGGATAACTATGAGTATTGCATGGAGTAACTGGTGGTATTGGCTGAATAATGGTGAATATTGTGTGAAGTAACAGTGAGTATTATGTGGAATAACTGGGAGTATTGGGCTGAGGAATGATGCGTATCATCTGGAGTAACTGGCGGGGATTGATGGAATACTGCATGGAGTAACTGGGGGTATTGTATCACACCCACAGGAGACCCCCACAGACAGACACAGCGCTCAGGGTCTAACAAGGGGCTAAGCACACACACACCCCCGTTCACATTCATACCCACTCACCCACACACCGCCCCTTCCACAGATCCACACGCATTCTCCCTTCTCAGGGATATGTGCCAACATGCCTGCTCCACCAACACACATTCACATATGCACTCTCTGCACCCAGACACACACAGAGTCAGGACAGACCCCTAGGTTTTCACACACACACACGTCAGGACAGGCCACCCTGGGGTTTACACACTCACACACTGTGACGAAGTGGGACTGTTCTTAATGTTTCCTCTGAATAGTGGGGGGGTGCCTCAGTTTCCCCTAGGCAGTTCTTAAGTATCTAGGGGGTGGAGTAAGGGTGTATGATCATTGCAGAGCCCTAGAGGGCAGGTGTGTGAAGGGGTCTGGACACAGAGAATGGCCGACACCCTGTTTCCTGGCAACTGATGGCCTGGGCCCTTCCCCCCTGCAAGGTGAGATCTAAAGGGTTGGAGAACAAAGGGATCCGGTGACCACCTGGCCCGGGAAAGGGACAAACCCCAGAGGAGGAGGGGCTGGAGAGAGTTTCAGTTTTGGGGCTGGCTGGGACATGGAGTGAAGTACAGACGTGGTTGTCTGGCTCACTGCCCCCCAAAATGGACCCAGCTGAGGGGTCCCGTTCTCTGCACCTGCAAGCTCTGTTTTAGACCATGTTCCTGTCGTCTAATAAACCTTCTGTTTTACTGGCTGGCTGAGAGTCACGTCTGACTGCGAAGTTGGGGTGCAGGACCCTCTGGCTTCCCCAGGAGCCCCGCCTGAGCGGAGTCACTGGGGGGAAGCGCACGGAGGGGCAGAGGATGCTGAATGCTCCGAGGTCAGACCCAGGAAGGCGGAAGCTGTGTGAGCTGCGTGTCCTGAAGACAGGCTGCTGACAGAAAGGCGACTGCCCCAGAGTCCTGACTGGCTTCATGGGGAGCAGTTCCAGAGCATCGCCCAGGGACTCCGTGACACACACACACACACACACACATCAGGACAGGCCCCTGGGGTTTTCCGGCAGCACTGCCTTGATTCTCAGGGAACTAGAGGTGTGGATGGGCCTGGGCCAGCTTCCAGGGTTCCAAACCCGCTTCCTGATTGGCCACATGGCCTTGACCCTGATTGGCTGGAGACTATATATAAATGTCCTGCTCCCCTCTGGCCTTGTCTGAGCAATGAGCTGTTGTCCGCTCGTGGCTGCTCGAACCCACCTGATCCCGCCAGCTGCCTCGCTCGCTGTACCTCCAGCTGGGGCTGCGTCGCCTGGCCATCGGCTCCCTTGCGGGAACTCTGACCACTGACCAGGACCGGCCTTTGGCTCGCCTGCCTCCCGGGCATTATGGTTTGCTCAGACCACCCTTCGGTCTCCTCCTGGCCTCGCCCCTGCTCCATGGAAGCGGGCATGGAACCTGCAGGTTTAGCGTCACTGGTGCCCTCGAGAACAGCAAGTCCCCAGGAGAAGGTCGCCTCCTACAAGTGGAAAACCAAGTCCTACTGGCCAACATGGACCGGCTCCAGATGGAAACCTGCACCCTTCAGACATGGATTACAGGGCTGCAAATGGGGCCACCTTCCCCAGTCCCATGGCCCACAGCTCCCTCGGTATCCGAGCCCATGGTGCCTTTACAGGAGCGTTATGATGATACTTCCAGCAAGTTTTGTGGTTTCATAAATCAGAGTAGACTCCTATTTATATTTTGGCCTCATGTCTACGTGACAGACCAGGCCACCTAGGCCTGGTCATTAGCCTCTCACTGGCGAAGCCCTAGATTGGGTATCTGCTCTGTTAGAACAGGTTCATCCTGCAATGGCTCCCTGGGACTCCTTCCTGGGGGCTTTTGCAACAATTTTCGATGACTCACTTTGGGCCTGCACCTCGGAGGCAGCTTGACAGAGGCTCCATCAGGCCCCAGGGTCAGCAGCGTCCTATCTGGGCCACTTCCGCCACCTGGCAGCAGATACGCTTAGCCCCCATGAGGGAGTTGAACCCTACTGGGCAAGTCCTTCCAGGGATCCACCCACCTTCACAAAATCCCTCCTCTCCTACACCTCTGACTTCAGAACTCTGGACAAGCTGTTCCCCTCCAGTGGGCTTTGATTCACTCCGGGGATGGAATAATTTCATGGATGCCAAGTACACCTCCCCATACAGCCAAGGCCACCTCGACCCAGTCGAGACAGTTGACATTCAGTGCTTGCCTCTGTTCCCCTCAGTCAGGAAACCACGGTTCTGGAAGCAGTAATTGTGGAACATCATGAGCTCCTTCGGTCCAGCCTAATCCGGTCCCCACGCTTTCCTGCGATACTTGGTTGGCCAAGCATGACCCAGGTATCTCCCAGCAGTGGCTCATCATGACGTGTAGCTCAGAGTATGGCTGAACCACTGCCTTTTGGCTCCCCAGCCTAAGTTCACAGAGTTCCCGGCCAGACTTCCCACCCAGGCTTGGGTATGGTGCGGGGTGCACAGGGTCTAGCAGCAGGATGGGCCTTCTTACTTCTAGGGTCAGTTGTGTCTCTCCCCGTGAGGTATACCAAGATTTCGCAGACATGTTCCTAAAAGGGAATGCATACACCTTGCCCCGTATCCTGACTCTGACTGCCCAATCAACTTGCAGCTTGGCGCCAAGATCCCGTTTATGTGAATATGCTCCAGGTCTGAGTCGGAACTGATGGCTAGATCTAAAAAATGATTTCATCTGCCAGTCCACCTCTCCAGCTGGGACCCCCATCCACTTTCTCAACAAGAAGGATGGATCTTTGAGGCTGTGCATGGACTACCGTGTCCTAAACAAAATCACCACGTGAAATCGATACCCACTACCCCGATCCTGGAGCTCCTAGACTGAGAAAGAACAGCCCAGATATTCACTAATCTGGATCTCAGGGCAGGAGGCCTACAGTCTGGTCAGGATCCAGCCAGGGGACAAGTGGAAGACCATGTTTCGTACATGATATGGCCATGTTGAATACCATGTGATGCCGTTGGGCTTTATCAAGGCACCTGCCCCCTTTCAGCACCTGATCAGTGATGTTTTGAGGGTACATTGGAGCACTATGCGGTCGCCTAACTATATAACATGATCTATTCTGAGGATCAGCCCCCACACAAGCAGCATGTGCACAAAATACTGGGAAGACTTCGCCAACAGGAAAATGTATCTTCAAACAACCCCGTAGATTTCCTCAGGTATGTACTGTCCCCGAAGGGATCCCCAAGGATCCTCATAAGGTAGAAGCGAAGCATTTGGGAAATCCAACTCTGTACTGGGTTTGCAAATGTCTACAGGCACTTTATACAGGGTTCGTCTAACATTCTGGCTCTGATCACCTCCTTGCTTCCCAAACTCACCAAATTCATCTGGCCATCAAAAGCCCAAAGTGCTTCCGAAAGCCTGAAAGAGACATTCATCGCCGTGCCCGTCCTTGTGCACCTCAACCCAAGTCTGCCCTTCAGCTGGGAACCCGATGCCCTGACGCTGGTATCGGAGCAGGATTGTCCCAAAGAGAGCATCGGCCCCGTCCACATTTCTTGTGAAAACTCTCCCCTGCTGAGCGTGAGTATGAGATTTTGGACAAGGAGCAGTTTGCTATCAAGGTGGCTTTCAAAACCTGGAGGCAATACCTGGAGGGGGCAAAATGCCCTGTGCAGGTATGTCCTAATAATCTGGAGCATTGGTACTCTGCTGAAACCTTGAATCAACAACAATGGACCTGGGCTCTCTTCTTCTCATGGTTCTTCTCACCCTGACCTATCCAGCCGCCGCACTGTGCCCCCTGATTGGCTTGGATCTCCTGGCGAAACCCTGGGACTGCCCTTTGACCTGCCCAACTCCTGGGCATGACACACCCATTCACACAGCACGCTCAGCTGCACCTCGAGCAGCCATGCAGGAAATCTGTACACCGTCCAAAAATACCCAGGAGTTCCTCAGACATTGTGCCAGGCGCTGCACAGACCCCGACCGAGATCAGAGCCCCTTTGTGCCAGGCGCTGCACAGACCCCGACCGAGATCAGAGCCCCGTTGTGCCAGGCGCTGTACAGACCCTGACTGAGATCAGAGCCCCGTTGTGCCAGGCGCTGTACAGACCCCGACCGAGATCAGAGCCCCGTTGTGCCAGGCGCTGTACAGACCCTGACTGAGATCAGAGCCCCATTGTGCCAGGCGCTGTACAGACCCTGACTGAGATCAGAGCGCCGTTGTGCCAGGCGCTGCACAGACCCCGACCGAGATCAGGGCCCCGTTGTGCCAGGCGCTGTACAGACCCTGACTGAGATCAGAGCCCCGTTGTGCCAGGCGCTGTACAGACCCTGACTGAGATCAGAGCCCCATTGTGCCAGGCGCTGTACAGACCCTGACTGAGATCAGAGCCCCGTTGTGCCAGGCGCTGCACAGACCCCGACCGAGATCAGGGCCCCGTTGTGCCAGGCGCTGTACAGACCCTGACTGAGATCAGAGCCCCGTTTTGCCAGGCTCTGTACAGACCCTGACTGAGATCAGAGCCCCGTTGTGCCAGGCGCTGTACAGACCCTGACTGAGATCAGGGCCCGGTTGTGCCAGGCGCTGTACAGACCCTGACTGAGATCAGGGCCCAGTTGTGCCGGGCGCTGCACAGACCCTGACTGAGATCAGGGCCCCTGTTGCACAAGGAGATCACCATGGGCATCAATCTGGGCACACCCAGGGTGGTCACCGAGAGCATCCCCTGCGCAGGTCCTGGGGGGTCACTGAGGACGTCACCTGAGGGTGATGCGGCCCCTTTCTTGTTGGCGATGCTGCAGGGCAAGGGAACCCTGATCTCGGTCGGGGTCTCTGCAGTGCTCCAGCGGGCCCCTGATCTTGGTTGGGGTCTGTGCATGGCCTGGCACAACGAGGCCCTGATCTCGGTCGAGGCCTGTGCAGAGCCTGGCGGGGCCCTGATCTCACTCAGGGTATCCAGGTGCTACAATGATACACAGAAGAAGAATTCGTCTCTCCCAGGTGATGAGGTGCTTTGCCAAGCAGGGCTCAGGCTCCGCTGGGCCGTGGCTGGAGACGCCCAGGGCCCAGAGGCAGTGGAGGTGAGGGGTCAGCTGGGGCCCATGGCCAGAGCCGAGCGTGTGGAGTGCGTGTGTGTGAATGCTGGCTCCCTGGAGATCTCTCGCTCCAGCGCAGGGCTGCAGCCCTAACCAGCTTTTAATGAAGTTTCCCAGGGCAGCTTTATTGCATATTAACTGCCCAATTTTCCCTGTTCCACAGCGACTGAGACGGCTTGTCATTAACCCCTGCCTCTCCAGGCCCCGCACCGCGCCGTTCACAGCTAGCCGCTGAGGCCGGAAAGAAAGGGACGGGAGAAAGGAGGCGAAGAAGCAGGTGCCGTATGGAAAAGGCAGCCAGGTCCCTCCCCTGTACACACACACACACTGGTCCGTATCTGGGGCATGTTCTGGTGATTCAATCAGCCCCGCTTCTCGGGCAGCATATATGGGGTGAAAATGTCCCCCCCAGCCCCTCATTGGTCCTCCCCAACTGGTGTGGCTCTGTGCTCCCTGCCCACAGCATAGATTGGAGATGTGGCCGCGATGCCCTGTGTTATGGCTAGTCTCTGCCCGCCCAGCCCCGGGCCCATAGGAGGGTGAACCTGGGGGCGTGGCTGGGGTGCCCTGCTCTGTGGCTATTCTCTGCCCCCCCCAGGGCCCATCGGGAAGTGGAGGGGGGGCGTGGGTGGGGTGCCCTGTGCTGTGGCTATTCTCTGCCCCCCCAGGGCCCATCGGGAGGTGGACGGGACAGGGCGGGGCTGGGGAACCCTGTGCTGTGGCTATTCTCTGCCCCCCAGGGCCCATAGGGGGTTACGGAGAGCAGAGCATTAACTAGAGCAACCCTGATGCTCATCTGTGTGTCATAGGCCCTGCACTGCCACAGGAGGCTGCCTTTTAGCTCCGGTGGCTGGCAATTTTGAAGCAGAAGAGTCTGAATCCCAGCCGTGCTGCTGGGCTCTGATCAGCTGGTGGCCTCCCCAGCAGCATGGCCTGTGGAGAGAGCAAGCGACTGGGACTCAGGAGACCTGGTTTCTCCTCCTGGCCCTGCCGGGTGACCTTGGCCAAATCACTTCCCTGCTCTGTCAAGTATCAGGGGGTAGCCGTGTTAGTCTGTCTCCGCAAAAACAACAAGGAGTCCGGTGGCACCTTAAAGACGAACAGATTTATTTGTGCATAAGCTTTCATGGGCTAGAACCCACTTCATCAGATGCGTGGAGTGAAAATTACGGATGTAGGCATTGTTATACTGACACATGAAGGGAAGGGAGTTACCTCACAAGTGAAGGACCAGTGTTGACAGGGCCAATGCGATCAGGGTGGATGTAGTCCACTTTTCCCCACAGCAGAGGAGTTTCTCAGGGCGATTGGCCCGTGAATAGGCTGGCAGGGTTCCACCCCTGAGTCAGCTGCATCTTAGCACTGGGTGCAAGAACTTTGTGCAGACAGTTGCCACATCCTACCCCAGAAGTGGCCGCATCTCAGCACCAGGCAATGTATCCCTGTAAATACTACCGGGTCCCTAGAAATTGTGGTTTTTCGGTGAGAGGCAAGGAATCCTTGCCTTGACATCCCGCACCACACAGTCAATGGCATTTCAGCACCAGGCGAGGGGGGTCCCTATATACCAAGCCCCTACGCCCACCTGAGAGGCAGCTGCATCTCAGCGCCGGGTGAGGGATCCCTGTATAAACAGCCCACCCCAGAGGTGGTTGCATCTCAGCATCAGTTGGCTAATACCTGTATAAACAGCTGCCATGCCCTGGCTGCATCACAGCACCGGACAACAGATCCCTGGATATGCAGTGACCACATGCCCTTGGTGCCGTGACTGAGTGGTTAAAGCACTTCGCTACAGTCCCGAAAGGTGGGTGGGGGTTGAAGCCCCCGCCCCTCCCCGACCCAGTTCACCCAGGTGCACAATGGAGACCTGATCCATCGGGTTAGGGCAGCCAAAGGAGGTGGGACATGAGCCCGGCCACCTCACTCCCTCAGCTACAGTTGGCTTGGCCACTGATGTGCCTTAACCCAATGACCTGATGAGCTGTTGGCTCTGGGGAACTTGGGCTCTGATGTCTCACCCCAGAAGCAGCTGCATCTCAGTGCCGGGGGGAGGATGAACTGATGAGGGCACACACTGGGGAGGGGGAGGGTTTAATTCACACACACACACACCCCGATGCAGTGAGATGGACAAAGCCAGCCAGGCTGCACAGCTGGGCCGCACTCCAGCAAGAGAAGACCCGGGCGCCGCATCCCCCCCGACTGCGTGTGACCGCATGGTGAACCAAGGTACGAAAGTTGAACGAGAGGACAGACGTCTCCAGCCTCTCCCCAGCCGCCAGCCTGGCCCTTCAAATATTCAACACCCCACCCCCAGCCATGGACCAAATAAGCACAAGGAGGCAGGTGGCTTTAAATAGCTCTGACCTTCTCCCTGCCCCTGTCCCGTACCCCACTGCCCCCCCGCCATCCCGCTACACCATGCTGTCAGCCTTTATTCGTGCGTCTCTGCCTAGTGCCAGGCTCCCCCCCATTAGCTCCCTTGCGACCCTCCAGAGGCCCCAGCTGCTCCCTGGTCTATTAAGTCAGTGACGTGTGGTTAATAATTCAGGAGGGTTGTGAAATATTCAGAGCAGCCCCCATGGAGCCGGAGAGTGGACGAGCCGGGGCGGGGGTGTCATGGGATGCTCTCGGCTGTCCTCTCCCTACCTGCCACCAAGGGTTTTTATGTCGCTTCCCAGCAGGGCCTGAGAAGGAGCTGGGCAGGGTGTGGCATGGGGGGGTGTCATTTTTTCTCTTGGTGGTTGGCTTGTAAATGGGCAGGCAGTGTCCCACCCCAGAGGCGGCTGCATCTCAGCACTGGGGTAACAGTCCCTGTGTAAACAGCCCCTGTGTCCCACCCCAGAAACGGCTGCATCTCAGCACTGGGGTAACAGTCCCTGTGTAAACAGCCCCTGTGTCCCACCCCAGAGACGGCTGCATCTCAGCACTGGGGTAACAGTCCCTGTGTAAACAGCCCCTGTGTCCCACCCCAGAGACGGCTGCATCTCAGCACTGGGGTAACAGTCCCTGTGTAAACAGCCCCTGTGTCCCACCCCAGAGGCGGCTGCATCTCAGCACTGGGGTAACAGTCCCTGTGTAAACGGCCCCTGTGTCCCACCCCAGAGACGGCTGCATCTCAGCACTGGGGTAACAGTCCCTGTGTAAACGGCCCCTGTGTCCCACCCCAGAGACGGCTGCATCTCAGCACTGGGGTAACAGTCCCTGTGTAAACGGCCCCTGTGTCCCACCCCAGAGACGGCTGCATCTCAGCACTGGGGTAACAGTCCCTGTGTAAACGGCCCCTGTGTCCCACTCCAGAGGCGGCTGCATCTCAGCACTGGGGTAACAGTCCCTGTGTAAACAGCCCCTGTGTCCCACCCCAGAGGCGGCTGCATCTCAGCACAGAATGCTTTTGCTCTGTCCAGTTTGTTCTATCTGGAAGGCTCCTGAAAGGTTCTCGCTACATCTGGGTTATTGATGAAGTGTTGGTGTGGCACAGCGGCAGCATTGCCTAGTGGGTACAGTACAGTGCTGGGATACAGCACGCCTGGCTTTTAGTGCTGGCTGTGCTCTATGTGACCATGGGCAAGTCACATCATCGCTCGGTGCCTCAGTTTCCCCATCTGTACATGGGGGGATTCAGCCTCTGTTTCCCATTCCCCACACCCTGAGCCAGCCAGTCCCCTGCCTGGGCCTGGATTGCCGGTGACTCCTGGAGGGGAGAGACCCCATGTCCCATTCCTCGCCTCCCTGAACCAGCCAGTCCCTGTTTTCATTGACCCATATCTCCAGTTTGATCCCGCTGAGTCAGTGCCTGCCAGGTTTCAGGGGAGGGGGTCGCTGTGGTCCTGGGTTTCCCCTCCTCTTCTAGGGTACAGCTGAGACAGGTCAGAAGCCAGGGTATGAGCAGAGCTGGCAGGAGGCCTGGTGCCGAACCCACCCAAGCCAAAGAGAAGGAGCAGGAGCAGGTTACTCGCAGGGCACAGGCTGGGCTGGAGTTGGGATCTGTGTCTGGGGTCCAATGGTTAGAGCAGGGGGGATGGGCATCGGGACTCCTGGGTTCTCTCTCCAACTTGTGGAGGGGAGGGGAGGGGAGGGGAGGGAGCTCTAGTGGTTAGAGCAGAGGGCTGGGAATCAGGACTCCTGGGTTCTCTCTCTAGCTCTGGGAGGGGAGTGGGGTTTAGTGGTTAGAGCAGAGGGCTGGGAATCAGGACTCCTGGGTTCTCTCTCTAGCTCTGGGAGGGGAGTGGGGTTTAGTGGTTAGAGCAGAGGACTGGGCATCAGGACTCCTGGCTTCTAGTCCCAATTTACAAACTATGTTGACATGAAGTGAAGGTTGTGAGCACCCCTGGGGTAACAAACCCTCAGGGGTGTCGTCATGAGCCCCCAAACCAGGTGTTAGAAACCCCAGGAATTCAGCATCAAGATTAAACGGAAACCCAGCCCGATTCTGCTATGGAAATACACCTAGGGCACGGTCTGAACTCCAGCCTGTCATGTCCACAGAGGATTTCACACCACGCTCCTCCCCATGGCATCTGAGCACCATCCAGCTGGGCAGCAAGCAACATGCCAGCGCATTTGGTCACGTGGCGTTTGTTCCTGCACCCTCGCCCCAGAGGGAGAAGCGTCGGGCAGTGGAGCAGCGTGTTTTGGTGGGGTTTGTATCTGTTCATTTATATAATACATCTACCTATTGCTCTGGGGGGGCCGGCAGGAAGTGGGGAGGTTTAGAATGATCCTTAGTTCTTGGGGGGTGGGTTCATTCTCCAGCCTGGGCCCAGCCCCCGAGAAAGTCAGTCTCCTGCCCAGACCAGCTTTACTCTTGTCGTTGCGACTCCCACTGGGCCGTTATCGAGGATCACGGCCTTCATCCCGGAGTTTTAGCTCATGGAGGCTTTGGCGATTGTCCCCTGGGTGCGAAATTCGCTAGGCAGCCAGCGCAGGGCGCAGAGGAAGGGCAGCCGGCACTGCGGAGGAGCCACGCCATGGCAGTCACGCTGGCTGGCGTTCCCCGGGGGCAGAAGGGTTGGTGCCCAGGTCTGTCACTGTGCCCGAGCTCTGGAGCCCAGCAGCTGATCCTAAGCTCCAATCGCTGCTACTGCAGCTCCTCGCCCTGTGCGCACCCAGGTGTGGGAGCTGGGCTGAACCGACCGATTGAGGGGAGGCTGGCGAGAGGAAAACGCTGCTCACCGCCGAGGGTGCAAGGCACAGGCAGGACATGGGAAGCAGGAGGGAACAAGAGGGCAGTGTCAAGGCTGCGCCATCCGGGAAGGCAACGAACATCATTAAAGCGCCGGGTGTTTTACCTGCAGGTCTCCGGCTCGTTGTCTGTGTGGAAAGAGACAGGAGCGGAGCCACAACCCCGCTGCGGGAAGGCAGCCGAAGGCAGACGAAGGCACAGGTAACTGGAGCCAGCCCATCCTCCGCCAGGATGGGATGTGTGAGCCAGCCGGCGACGGCGGAAGACGTCACCTGTGGCCATTGCGATGCGAGAGATCTGCATCACCGAGGAATCCGAAAGTGCTCCTGGACTATGGGCTGAATTGCCCAGTTGTGGACAGGAACCTTTGCCCCATGGCTGCAAACTCCCCCGAATACTTTCCTCTGTCCACCACCATCACCTCTGTTTGGCTCAGCTTCAGCTTCAGCCCGCGGTTCCTCATCCAGATGCTGAGCAGCTCCAAGTGCTGGGCCTCCTTAGTGGTGCCGGCATGGTCGCAAGTGGGGAAGGATAGATCAAGGCGTGCCGTCTGCCCACTAGTGGTGCCATACAGTACCCAGACATTGCCCTTCACCAACCTGAACGCTGCACTGTTGTGGGCCCAAGGTAGCTGGGCATGACTTTTAATGCCATTTTCAAATGTTTCCAGAGTTAAGGCTGGAGAAGGCCAAATTTAAGATTGGTTGGGGTACAGTTAAGGTTGTCAGAGTAAATTTAAGGTAGTTAAGGTTGTTAGGGCACAGTTAAGGTTGTTTGGGTGCCTTAACTTGCACTGCCATTTCATTCTAAAATGCTTCCTCTGGCTGCCTGAGCTGTCTGTGAGTTTTAACTCCATGGAAAGTTACACTTGTCTGAGTCATTCCGTTATTAAGATAATTTGGAGCAAAACCAATGGTATTAGATTTCCTACAGGACTCATCTTGAATTAATTTTTGCTCATAAACTAATTAGCCAATGTGCTCATAAAGGCTCAGAAAATTCACTCCATGCTTGGAGCGGATGCTCAGTGGTTTGGGGAAGGAAACACGGGTTTTCGTCAGCTGTAGGTTGGTGGGTTTGCCCCTGCTTTCCTGGCCTGGATTCACTGCAGAGTTACCTGGAGTGTTGCCCTGAACTTGGGTCCCATCCACACACACAGCTCCAGCGTCGGCCAGCCTGTGGGGGTGAGCTACGGGTCACTCAACCCGCCCGCTGTTCTGCAGTGTGAGCCCAGACTACTGCCTCACACCTGCTGCCGGTCCTCCAGTGCCTTCCCACAATCCCCCCGCGTGCACCCAGAAAGGACAGTGGAGTTCACCCACAATCCCCTGGGAAAGGATCCTTTGGGTGGTTCGGTGGTGCCTGGGATGTGCCCCCAGAAGCCTTCTCAGCCCCCAGAAGTGAGCGCAGAGCCTGGGGGGCCTGCAGCAGCTGGAGGTTGTGGGGCCACGCGGCCGCCCTCGCTCGGCAGGGGAACGCCAGCCAGCACCGCAGTGACTCGCCCAGAGTGAACTTACCTCAGCCTGCAACTGTCGCCTCCCTAATAAGGTGGCTCAGACCCTGGGAGCCCGGACTCCTGAGTCCTATCCCCGCCCCCCAAGTTATAGAACAGCCTGATCCCAAACCTGGCCCCCAAGGAGCTTGGCCTTGTTTGGCCCTGGATCCTAACCTAGGGGCTTTTGGGAGGGGGGGTGATCTGGGGGGTCAGTGCCTGGAGCTGCCCGGCAAGATGGGATGTCCCAGCCTTGGGCAGCCGAAATCCGCTGGCCTTGGGCAGCCGAAATCCAGGCTGGGAGGCGGGGAAGGGGATGCTCCCCCCTCCCCCCACAAGCCAGAGCCCAGCTTCCTGCTCCAAAGCGAGGAGCAGCCCACAGCCACGTCCTCTAATTAGGGATTAATTAGCTGCGTTGCAGGTTATTATTTTCATATTAAAATTCCAGCTTTGACAGATTCCACCTCAGCTGCAAACAATGACAGTGGAGAGCGGTATCAAGTATTCATGGGCCCTGCGCCAGCAAACACCCACACACACACACCCCCCCACACACACAACGGGTACTGCTGGGGGCTGGGCACTGCTGGCGGGGGTACTTCTAGGGGGCTGGGCACCACTGGGAGAGAGGAGCAGGGGTCAGGGTAGGCCCAGGGAATACACCTGGGGCAAGGTGCCCAGGGGTCCACTGTGTGTGTAGAAGCTGTGTGTGTTAGCAGAGCGTGTGTGTGTGTGTGTCTCTCTGCAGGGTTGTGTTAGCACATCATGCAGTGTGTGTGTGTGCACGGAGCTGTGCGTGTTGCCACTGGGTGTGTGTAGGGCGGTGTGTGTTCGCCCAGCATTCAGTGTGTGTACGTGTAGAGTTGTGTGTTAGCCCGACGTACAGCACGTGTGTTTCTGGGCGGGCCCAGCCCAGGCTCTCCATACTCCTACCTCTTGTGCCACCATTTACACGAGTGCACAAGAGGTGTCAGTTCTAATCAGACTGATTTCAGAGCAGTTTGAACTCGCTTTGCACTGCCAGCCGTGACTCCAACAGTGCGGAGCAGAGAGCTGATTGGCTCCCCAGGGAGGGGGGAGTGTTTGTGAATAAGCAGAAGCATCACTTTACTCGCTGTCTTACAGTAACGCCAGGAGGCCCCGACCGAGACCAGGGCCCCGTTGTGCCGGGCACTGCCCAGACCCCGACCGAGACCAGGGCCCCGGGCGCTGCCCAGACCCCGACCGAGTCCAGGGCCCCGTTGTGCCGGGCGCTGCCCAGACCCCGACCGAGTCCAGGGCCCCGTTGTGCCGGGCGCTGCCCAGACCCCGACCGAGTCCAGGGCCCCGTTGTGCCGGGCGCTGCCCAGACCCCGACCGAGACCAGGGCCCCGTTGTGCCGGGCGCTGCCCAGACCCCGACCGAGTCCAGGGCCCCGTTGTGCCGGGCGCTGCCCAGACCCCGACCGAGTCCAGGGCCCCGTTGTGCCGGGCGCTGCCCAGACCCCGACCGAGTCCAGGGCCCCGTTGTGCCGGGCGCTGCCCAGACCCCGACCGAGACCAGGGCCCCGTTGTGCCGGGCGCTGCCCAGACCCCGACCGAGACCAGGGCCCCGTTGTGCCGGGCGCTGCCCAGACCCCGACCGAGACCAGGGCCCCGTTGTGCCGGGCGCTGCCCAGACCCCCGACCGAGTCCAGGGCCCCGTTGTGCCGGGCGCTGCCCAGACCCCGACCGAGACCAGGGCCCCGTTGTGCCGGGCGCTGCCCAGACCCCGACCGAGTCCAGGGCCCCGTTGTGCCGGGCGCTGCACAGACCCCGACCGAGTCCAGGGCCCTGTTGTGCCGGGCGCTGCCCAGACCCCGACCGAGTCCAGGGCCCCGTTGTGCCGGGCGCTGCACAGACCCCGACCGAGTCCAGGGCCCTGTTGTGCCGGGCGCTGCCCAGACCCCGACCGAGACCAGGGCCCCGTTGTGCCGGGCGCTGCACAGACCCCGACCGAGTCCAGGGCCCCGTTGTGTCGGGCGCTGCCCAGACCCCGACCGAGTCCAGGGCCCCGTTGTGCCGGGCGCTGCCCAGACCCCGACCGAGACCAGGGCCCCGTTGTGCCGGGCGCTGCCCAGACCCCGACCGAGACCAGGGCCCCGTTGTGCCGGGCGCTGCACAGACCCTGGCTGGAAAACAAGAATTCCATTTTACAAAGCAAAGCCTGGAGGCTGGGAATCTTTGGCAATATTTCACCCAACAGTGCAGGAGATGGGTGTCCCCTCCCAGCCCAGCTCTCGGTGCACTCACCTAGGGTCTGCTCCTTGTTCTGCTTGACTGAGAGCTGGGGCTTGGTCCTCTAGGCTCTGCTGGGGTCTCTGGCATAAGCTAGACCAGCACAAGAGCTCTCTGCATCTCCAACAGGGGAGTGTGTCGGGGTGACTAAACCGGCACTGGGGCTGAAGGGGTTAAAAAGCAGCTTCTGCCCTGGACGACCCTGCCCCACCGCATGAGCAGGAGAGCTCCCCATCCAGGAGCAGGAGAGCTCGAGAGGGGAGGGCTCCTGCCTCAAACTGAGAAAGCGGGATGATCGGCGAGTTAAGATCTTAAGTGCCTGTACACAAATGCAAGAAGCCTGGGAATCAAGCAGGGAGAACTGGAAGTCCTGGCCAAGTCAAGGAATTATGATGTGATTGGAATAACAGAGACTTGGTGGGATAACTCACATGACTGGAGTACTGTCATGGATGGATATAAACTGTTCAGGAAGGACAGGCAGGGCAGAAAAGGTGGGGGAGTTGCACTGTATGTAAGGGAGCAGTATGACTGCTCAGAGCTCCAGTATGAAACTGCAGAAAAACCTGAGATTCTCTGGATTAAGTTTAGAAGTGTGAGCAACACAGATGATGTAGTGGTGGGAGTCTGCTATAGACCACCGGACCAGGGGGATGAGGTGGAGGAGGCTTTCTTCCGGCAACTCACGGAAGTTATTGGATCGCAGGCCCTGGTTCTCCTGGGAGACTTCAATCACCCTGATATCTGCTGGGAGAGCAGTACAACGGTGCACAGACAAGCCAGGAAGTTTTTGGAAAGTGTAGGGGACAATTTCCTGGTGCAAGTGCTGGAGGAACCAACTGGGGCAGAGCTCTTCTTGACCTGCTGCTCACAAACCGGGAAGAATTAGTAGGGGAAGCAAAAGTGGATGGGAACCTGGGAGGCAGTGACCAGGAGATGGTTGAGTTCAGGATCCTGACACAGGGAAGAAAGGAGAGCAGCAGAATACGGACCCTGGACTTCAGAAAAGCAGACTTTGACTCCCTCAGGGAACTGATGGGCAGGATCCCCTGGGAGAATAACTTGAGCGGGAAAGGAGTCCAGGAGAGCTGGCTGTATTTTAAAGAATCCTTATTGAGGTTACAGGGACAAACCATCACGCTGTGTAGAAAGAATAGTAAATATGGCAGGTGACCAACTTGGCTGAACAGTGAAATCTTTGCTGATCTTAAACACAAAAAAGAAGCTTACAAGAAGTGGAAGATTGGACAAATGACCGGGGAGGAGTAAAAAAATATTGCTTGGGCATGCAGGAGTGAAATCAGGAAGGCCAAATCACACCTGGAGTTGCAGCTAGCAAGAGATGTGAAGAGTAACAAGAAGGGTTTCTTCAGGTATATTAACAACAAGAAGAAAGTCAAGGAAAGTGTGGGCCCCTTACTGAATGAGGGAGGCAACCTAGTGACAGAGGATGTGGAAAAACTGATGTATTCAATGCTTTTTTTTCCTTTGTTTTCATGAACAAGGTCAGCTCCCAGACTACTGCCCTGGGCAGCACAGCATGGGGAGGAGGTGATCAGCCGTCTGTGGAGAAAGAAGTGGTTTGGGACTATTTAGAACAGCTGGACGTGCACAAGTCCACGGGGCCGGATGCGCTGCATCTGAGAGTGCTAAAGGAGTTGGTGGATGTGATTGCAGAGCCATTGGCCATTATCTTTGAAAACTCATGACGATCGGGGGAAATCCTGGATGACTGGAAAAAGGCTAATGTAGTGCCCATCTTTAAAAAAGGGAAGAAGGAGGATCCTGGGAACTACAGGCCAGTCAGCCTCACCTCAGTCCCTGGAAAAATCATGGAGCAGGTCCTCAAGGAATCAATTCTGAAGCACTTAGAGGAGGGGAAAGTGATCAGGAACAGTCAGCATGGATTCACCAAGGGCAAGTCATGCCTGACTAACCTAATTGCCTTCTATGACGAGATAACTGGTTCTGTGGATGAAGGGAAAGCAGTGGACGTGTTGTTCCTTGACTTTAGCAAAGCTTTTGACACGGTCTCCCACAGTATTCTTGCCTGCAAGTTAAAGAAGTATGGGCTGGATGAATGGACTATAAGGGGGATAGAAAGCTGGCTAGATCCTCAGGCTCAACGGGTAGTGATCAATGGCTCCAT